GTGATTTTCACAAACATTTCTTATAGGTCAGAATTTTTACAACAGATGCTATGTTTCCATTAAACACATGGTTGCAGCTACTGTTTGTGCAAAAAAAAAAAAGAGTTACCTGCCCTAGTGATTATCACTCATAGCCTGCTGGTGCTTAGATTGTTGGCCTGTGAACTGGCAAAGGTCTGTATGGGGTGATGCTGAGAATGCAATTGTAAATTCCTGATAGCAGTGGAAAGTTTGAAGACTATCACCACCACATGAACATATGCACATTGAAGAGGATGTGAGTACTTAAAAGGGCTGTGGAGCAAAGTCAAAGTACAAATCTTCACCAGAGCACTTCGCAAGTAGGGTAGGGTTCCCGCCTCATCCCTTTAAACCCAAACACATATTATTTACACAGGTTCTGTGGCTGATTAAGGTGGTAACTAAACTCACCTCAGGTTCTGAGGCTAATTTAATACAGATAAGGCACTTAGCTTAATTTACCACCTTAATAAGCAACAGAACCTGTGAGTGTTTGGGTTCAAAGGGATGAGGTGGTATGTGGTACAAAGTTGACAGGTAAATTTATAAAAATGGACATGCTAAAGGTCAAGGTGGGCAGTGAACAAGTATAGTCAAATACAAGCCAAAATCAGCAACTAGAGAAGTAGGAATGCAGGACCAGAGGAGTTAATACAGACTTCAGCCTTGAGCTGTGAAACAGACTCATTGCTAAGGCAATGGATGTTGACCTGAGCACAAATAAATAATGAGATTGACTGGCTAAGTGGGTGGGAACTAGCTATATAGCTGTTATTTTAATGATCAGGGGGAATCCAGTCATAGCTAAAGCCTAGTGCACACGATCAGAAAATCATACAAAAAATACCGCTTTCGAAGAAATCATACGATAATCTGATCATTCCGTTTAATCGGTTTCTGTTTAATCGGTACAGGTTTCATCCAAAAATACAATACAAATACATTATTATTATTATACAGTATTTATAAAGCGCCGATAGTTCACTCAGCGCTGTACATTACAAAGGGGGACAGAACATGTGACAGAACAATAACAATACAATGCAAAACATGAGGGGATTGAGGGCCCTGCTCTTTCAAGCTTACAATCTAGGAGGGAGGGGATGGTGGCACAGGAGGAGATAGCTGTGGGGGATAGAGTGGTAGGAAGAGTGGAGGAGGTCGGCAAGTTAGCAGGGGGTGGGGTAGGCTTCCCTGAAGAGATGGGTTTTCAGGGTGCGCCTAAAGGAGAGGAGAGTAGGTGATAATCTGATGGGTTGGGGCAGGGAGTTCCAGAGGATGGGTGACACCCTGGAGAAGTCCTGGAGGCGGGCATGGGAGGAGGAGACCAGGGAACTAGAGAGAAGGAGGTCTTATGAGGAGCGGAGTGTGCGTGCTGGGTGGTACTTGGATATTAGGTCAGTGATGTAGTTCGGGGCAGTGTGGTGGACGGCTTTGTACGTCAGTGTTAGGATTTTGAATTTGATCCGTTGCGCAATCGGAAGTCAGTGGAGGGATTGGCAGAGGGGGGTGGCGGAGATGAAGCGGTTGGAAAGGTGAATGAGTCTGGCTGCTGTATTCAGGATCGACTGAAGCAGGGATAGCCAGCGGCGAGGCAGGCCAGTAAGTAGGGATTTGCAGTAATCGAGTCGTGATATGATGAGGGAGTGGATGAGCTGTTTAGTGGTTTTTGGGGTTATGAACGTGCGGATTTTGGCGATGTTGCGAAGGTGGAATCTGCACGAGCTTGTTAAAGATTGAACTTGGGGCTGGAAGGATAGGTTGGAGTCCAGAATGACACCAAGTACTCTAGCCTGCGGGGCGGGTTTGATGGTGGCATTGTTGGACATGATGGAGAAGTCAGTGGGGGGTGGTGTCCGGGCTGGGGGGAAGACAAGAAACTCGGTCTTGGAGAGGTTCAGTTTAAGGAAGTGGAGCGACATCCAGTCAGATATGTCACTCAGTAGGTGTGTGATTCGGGCAGAGACTGAGGGGGTGAGGTGGGTGGTTGAGAGATAGATTTGTGTGTCGTCGGCATATAGGTGGTAGTTGAAGCCGTGAGAGTGTATGAGTTGGCCAAGGGAGGAGGTGTAGATGGAGAGGAGAAGGGGCCCGAGGACGGAGCCTTGAGGGACCCCAACAGAGAGGGGGAGTAAGGGGGAGGTGGCAGCATTATAGGTAACGCTGAAAGAGCGTTGTGACAGGTAGGATGAGAGCCAGGAGAGAGCAGAATCTCTGTGGCCAAGGGAGTGTAGTTTTTTGAGGAGGAGGGGGTGGTCGACCGTGTCGAAGGCTGCAGAGAGGTCAAGGAGTAGGAGCCCTGAATAGTGGCCATTAGCTTTGGCGGTTAGCAAGTCATTGGAGAGTTTGAGTAAGGCAGTTTCGGTGGAGTGTAGGGGATGGAAGCTGGACTGTAGGGGGTCGAGGAGGTTGTTGTCATTGAGGTGAGAGCATAGGCGGGTGTAGACTAGGCGCTCGAGGAGTTTGGATGTAAATGGGAGCAGGGAGATGGGTCTGAGGTTGTTTGGGTCATTGGGGTCCAGGGAGGGCTTTTTATTCTGTCATATAAGAATTTTTGTAATTTTAGTAGCCTCTTTCACTTTCAAAATGAGACTAGCATGCAAAAAAAAAAAACATGATATTCTCATCGTGTGTACGGGGCTTAAACCTTCCAGTGCTGTGCAGGCTGCAGTTAGAAGGCAAATGAGGAAACAGGGTGACAGAACATATCCTAAACAAAAACACATTTTTGCTTTGGATACACTTCAGTTTAACAATAAAATGTAGTATGACCATGTTTGTTGGAGTTTTCTTGGTATGCATCAAGCTTTTCACTTTAGGGCTTCACTCTGACTGGTACATAGTACAACTATGTAGTAGTAAATATGTCTCAAATAGCGTCTGAGACACTAGTGGTCACTTTCTTATAACTGCTGTATGAATCCTTTATCACAGTGGATGCTAGGGTTAGTGTATCCCTTGTAAAAAAAAAAGTCTCTTGTGGCTGCTCTTAGGTATGTTTCACATTTTTTTTTTCAGTGACAGTTGATGTGAGATCCATGAAGCCATGTAGGTCTTGCTTTTTTCATCAACTTAGATAAAAAGCTAGAATTGAAAGCCAAGAAACATTTGATTCATTTAATAAAATGCAATTTGATGCAAGAAAAACATGTTCATAAGAAGGAATTTGTATAAACATTTAGACCCAGTAGTCTTTAATGTACCGCTTGTCATTTCTATTTCCATTCATTTTCAGCCTATGCATTGCTGTGCTTTCATTAAGTGGAGAGGAGCTTTAAATGCAAAGTCAAGAACATTAAAGAGACAGTTATCCTGTGCTGATAAAAAATGATCTTCAGCATTGCAGGCATGTTTTGAATCTAGAATTCTAGTTTCGTAATTAGGGGCCAAACTAAGTTTTTAAATCGTGCTATTAATATGTACATTTTAAAGTTTTGAAAGTTTTTTTCTAATCTATGCAGTTACTCAAAAGGGTTTATATATCTGAGATTTTCCATTACCACTGTATGAGTATAAATAGATAATGCATGAAATGGCAGTTTAAAAAATGCACATTCAGGATTTAATTGAAGCATTAGATGATGTACATATCATTGGGTGCTACATTTTGAAAAAGTGGCTTTTAAGAGAAATCTCTACTTATGTATTAAGTTTCCATCTAAAGTGGGCCTCACTGATCTCGTTAAATTATCATTTCTTTTACACTACTAATAATCGGAGCATTGTGTTTAGAAAATTGTACACACAAATAATATACTTTAGGAAAGACTTTGTTTAATTAAACACTTTCACTTTTGCAATAGTCTTTCTCACAATGGTGGTTAAAATCTATTTTTCAAATCTAAACACAAACACACAAATGCATGTTTAGCCGTTTAGCTTCAATAGCAAACATCTGTTCCTGTCAAATGCAACTTGGCTAACTTGTATTTGAAATGTGAGACCACTCTGGAAAAATCAAATGGACTAAACAACCTCCATAGTTTCCTGATATAGACCTTATTTTTTAATTCCCAGAGGATGTATGTGGTTGAATCATAATTTAAAAATGGTTTGTGAGATCAGGGTGAGCCTTGGGATGGTCTGAGCCACAGCATAGTATAGCTTCATATTTAGTGAAGTTGTCCTTTACAGTTCACCCCATCTCCTTAGTGTACCTGTTGAGATAAATACCTTCAGCTGTGCATTAAATCTTTACTGTGTGGCATTGCTTAGCTCTGTACAGCCTTTTCACAAAATAAGCACTGACTAGGCTCTAATTCATTCTTGTGACTTAGTCCATAATCATGGAGGACAGCCATCCAGAAGAAATATTGACCAGCCATATGAATGAGAATATGGTAGGCACAGGGCCGGATGGGACTATTTTCAAGAAAAGGCTGCTTAGCAGGGCTGCACAATGAAGATCTCAGGAGCTGGTATGAAGGTATTTAGATCTGTGGGTTACTCTAAAGTACAGGGCCAGATTTAGCCTATATGATCTGGGGGCTGTGCAGTAATAAAATGTTTGGGGGCATAATGTCAACACTAAGTGTGAGTCACTGACAGTCGGTCACACAGTGTCACGACTTATGTATTAGGTTGTCATTAGATTAGGGTGATTAAACAAAATGTGTGCCAGTCAAATTCCTCCACCCCAAACTCTCTCATCCATGTCTTTATGGACCTTGCTTTGTGCACTGGTGCGCAGTCATGTTGGAACACTAAAGGGTCATCCCCAAACTTTTCCCACAAAGCTAGGAGCATGAAGTTGTCCAAAATGTCATGGTATACTGACACCTTAAGAGTTCCCTACACTGGAACTAAGGGACCATGCCCATCCCCTGAAAAACAACCCCTGAAAAACAACCCCACACCATAATCCCCCCTCCACCAAACATTACACTTGGCACAATGCAGTCAGGCAAATACTGTTCTCCTGGCAACTGCCAAACTCAGACATGTCCATCAGATTGCCAGATATAGAAGTGTTGGTGTAAACTTGGTGATAGCTTGGATGCAGCTGCTTGGCCATGGAAACCCATTCCATGAAGCTCTCTAAGCACTGGTATTGTGCTAATCTGAAGGCCACACGTAGTTTGGAGGTCTTTAGCTATTGACTCTGCAGACAGTTGGTGACTTCTGCGCACTGTGAGCTGCAGCATGCGCAGACCCCGCACTGTCATCTTACATGTCCTACCACTTTGTGACTGAGTTGCTGTTATTCCCAGTCGCTTCCACTTTGTTATAATACCACTAACAGTTGAATTTGGAATATTTAGTAGCAAGGAAATTTCATGGATAGATTTATTGCACAGGTGGCAACCTATCATGGTACCACGCTTGAATTCACTGAGTTCCTTAGAGTGACCCATTCTTTCACAAATGTTTGTAAAGGCAGTCTGCATGCCTAGGTGCTTGATTTTATACACCTGTGGCCATGAAGGTGATTGGAACATCTGAATCCAATGATTTTGAGGGGTGTTCCAATACTTTTGGCAATATAGTATATATATTTATTTTTACCTTAACATACACTTTTAGCTTCTGTTTGAATCAAATTTGCTCATTTGTATTTGCAGGAAAATTTTGTAAACTGTGTTACATGATTATATTTAGTTATGCCAGAGAATGTTATCATTTTTTGGTCTTTTTAGCATTCTATTCAGAGGCAATTTCGAAAAAATTAAAGCAGTTGAAGTAGTGTGCTTGTTTTTACACAGTTTAGCCAGCCCAAGCACAACATAGTTCAGGTAGTTAGATCTTCTGCATGGTACTGGAGACAGAGGCAGGCTACTGTACATGTACAAGGATTTATATGATGACATTATCCCTGCATGAAACCTAAATAAAGATGGCATGCTTTGTCCGATAAAAAAGGCATTCAAAGGCCTTGCCAGGGATATTACTTTAATTTCCAAGAAATAATTATTACCTGCTAGTTTTACACTTACACTTTGTTTAGCATGAATATGGTTACCATGAAAAATATAATTGTTGTTCCCTTTATCAAGTGAAGCTAGGCATGAAATAATTACCAGGTTTAGGTGCAACATTATTTAGATAAGATAATAACGTAAGCTAGCAATGCATTATCATTTCAGAATTTTGTTGAATCTAACAACATCAAAGAAGGCAAGAATCTGACCACGTTTTTTATAATAAAGGCCTAAGAAACCCCCTGAGCCTAATGCTTTAGAGGGATTAAGATGCTTCTTCTAGTATTCCTTCATGGTGAAATATTTTTCTTATCACCAAAATAATGTTTTCAGCACGACTTTGAAAATATTGGGATTTAGTTCAGGTAGCCGCTGATGCTGCTGGTCAGGCTGATCTGACACTGCACCACGCTGATGGCCCTTTGTGTATTATTTTGCGTATGATGGACTGATAAGTATTCATGGCTACATCTCTACCTATGCTTTACATTTACCACAAGACTATTGTTGGCATATTTTTTATGGAATCAGACGTCAGTTGAATTCAGGCTATATGTGTCACTTGCATTTGAGAGCATTTCTTAGCACATTGCACGAACCCTAGCACTATACATCTGATCTTTATCTTGTCTGATCCAGACTGGACTGGTACAAACATCCCAGTATATTCATATTGGTGGTTCCAGTGCAGAGCTAGTCTTCACATTTTGATGGTGTTCTGACTAGCTCACTGGAATTTATGGATATTGTATGAACTGAACTGTCATACACTTACTTCAGCTACCATCTTTTTATTCTACAGGTTCTCTACTTCAGAAAAAATATTTAATGTTCTTGGTTTTGTGTAATTTTCAGGCCTAAAATGCACTTTTTAACTAGGGTTGCCACCTCATCCCTTTAACACCGAACACATATTGATTACACAGGTTCTGTGGCTGATTAAAGAGGCAATTAAACTCACTTGGTACCTTATCTGCAATAAATTTGCCTCAGAAGCTGTATAAGTAATATGTGTTTTGTTTTAAAGGGATGAGGTGGCAACCCTATTTTTAACATGTGTGAAAAATGAAACAAAGAATGCTCTGGCAGGAAAATGGTTAAAGATGAACTGAGGGCTTGGGGTTCGACATGACCTCAGAACATAATATGCCAATATCCATGGCAAACTTGTAAAAACCACTCTGCATGGTGTTCCAGTGATCTAAGCTTTGTGCTCTCTAACCACTCCACAGCCACCAGTGCCATCTTTTCCCAAGATTCTTTTGTGGTCAGCATCTTCTCCCTTTGAACATTTATATACACTGCTAAATACAATTAAAGGAACACTTGGAAACACATCAGATCTCAATGGGGAAAAATATCATGCTGGAATCACTATACTGATATCTACTGGTTAATGTGTTAGGAACGTAAGAATGCTCCATCGTTTGATGGAAATTAAAATTATAAACCTACAGAGGACTGAATTCAAAGACACCCCAAAAATTAGAGTGAAAGAATGATGCATCAGGCTAGTCCATTTTGCTGAAATTTCATTGCAGCAACTCAGAATGGTACTCAGTAGTTTGTATGCCCCCACGTGCTTGTATGCATGCCTGACAATGTCGGGGCATGTTCCTAATGAGACGACAGATGCTGTCCTGGGGTATTTCCTCCCAGATCTGGACCAGGGCATCACTGAGCTCCTGGACAGTTTAAGGAGTAACCTGGTGGTGTCAGATGGACCAAAACATGATATCCCAGAGGTGTTCTCTTGGATTTAGGTCAGGGCAGCATGAGGGCCATTCAATGGTATCAATTCCTTCATCCCCCAGGAACTGCCTGCATACTCTCGCCACATGAGGCCAGGCATTGTCACGCACCAGGAGTAACCCAGGACCCATTGCACCAGTGTAGGGTCTGAAAATGGGTCCAAGGATTTTATCCTGATACCCAATGGCAGTCAGGGTGCCATTATTTGGCCTGTAGAGGTCTGTGCGACACACCACCAAAACGCTCATGCTGAACGATGTTACAGGTAGCATAACGTTCTCCACGGCTTCTCCAGACCCTTTCACATCTCTCACATGTGCTCAGGGTGAACCTACTCTCATCTATGAAAAGTGCAGGGAGCCAGTGGCAGACCTGACAATTCTGGTGTTCAATGGAAAATGTCAATCGAGCTCTATGGTGCTGGGCAGTGAGTACAGGGCCCACTAGACGTCAGGCCTTCAAGCCACCCTTATGAAATCTTTTTCTGATTGTTTGGTCAGAGACATTCACATCAGTGGCCAGCTGGAGGTCATTTTGTAGGGCGCTGGCAGTGCTCATTCTGTTCCTCCTTGCACAAAGAAATAGATGCCGGTCCTGCTGATGGGTTAAGGACCTTCCAAGCCTCTGTCCAGCTGCTGGGAGACATAGCAAACGTTCTGGCAATGGCACATATTGATGTGCCATCCTGGAGGAGTTGACCTGCCTGTGCAACCTCTGTAGGGTCCAGGTATCGCCTCATGCTACCAGTAGTGACACTGACCCTAGCCAAATGCCAAACTAGTGAAAAACAGACAGAAAACGTGAGTAGGAAAAAAATGTCAGTGGCCACCACCTGTAAAACCATTCCAGTTTTGGGGTTCATCTAATTTTTTCCCATCTAGTGCACATATTGTTAATTTCATTAACATCAAAGCAGCTGAAACTGATTAACCACTTGCCGTCCAGCCGCTGTATATAAACGGCCGGACGATGGCAGTCCAGGGGCGGGTGTAAAAGCAATCAGTGTAAAAAAAAAAAAAAAAAAAATCTTCATCACCCCCCACAACTAGTACAGTGTCACTATTGTGACACTGTACTACTAGAGTGACAGTATGTTAGACAAAAAAAACACAAATAATAATATAAAAAAAATAAAATAAAAAATGTAAAAAAAAAATGTGTATATAATGTGTTATAAACTAATTTGGGTTTTTTTTTTTTTTTACTAAAAAGATAACTGAATACATTTTGGCCAAGATTTATGAAGAAAGATTATTTGCAAAATTTTATCAGAAAAACACTTTTCTAAATTTGTGAACTTTCATTTATATAGCAAAAAAAAAAATAAAAATCCCAGTGCTGAATAAATACCACCAAAATAAAGTTTTATCTGTCTCAAAAAATGCTAAAAAATTCATATGGTTACAGTGTTGCATGACCACGCAATTGTCAAAGTGCGACAGCACTGAAAGCTGAAAATTGGCCTGGACAGGAAGGGGGTAAAAGTGTCTGGACATGAAGTGGTTAACAACCCCCTCTGCTTCTTAACTGACCAGATCAATATCCCAGGGGTTTAATTGACTTGATGCTATACTCTGATTAAAAATGTCTTCCTTTAATTTTTTGAGCAGTGTATATATATATCCACAAAAGAAATTTGGAGAAAAGGTAAACACATGCTTTGTTAACAAACTTCCAACAACATAACCACGGAAATGTTAATGTAATGTGTGACCTGGGAGCAATAAGAACTGAATTGTTTTGCAAAGAATATTGATCATCATGAATCAATGAAATTGCTGGAAAGTGCAGCATTTAAAATTACTTAGTTCCTTGTCCCCCCCCCCCCCCCCTTTTCTGTAGCTTTTTTTATTTTTCACTTTGCCCCTCCCCCCTTCCATCTCCATTCTCAACCAGATGTGAATTATCCTGGAGCATCAACTGAGGCTTTACACAGCACTGGAAGGAAAACCTGGTATAGAATCATCAGGTGGTCAAGGGCAAGAACTGGGAAGAGACAACCTGTTCCCAATTATGTAGAAGAGAAGATGAGGGAGCGGGACCAGACATGAAGCAGCAGAGTGGGGGAGTCTAGAAGAACAATGTTGGATTTGCCAAGCATTTAATTTTGATAATTGTGGCTATCCCAGCACGTAAGGTAAAAGAGAGTTTAAAAAAGTTACCATGGCACGTGAAGCTCCTCTATATTTTCATCTATACTTTTATCTACACAACTTGAATTCTTGGGGAGGATAACATTTACCTATAGTGTACACTTTCTTTCTAAGAGTTCCACATACTAACATGCATGTTTACCCCCAAGGGACCCCCAAGGGCCATCCACTGGAGAAGCGGATTGTGTGTGCCTCTGTGCCTGCTCTCCTCCTTTTTCCTCTCCTGCCACCAGACAGAGGCAGAGAGGCAAGGTTGCTGCACAATGTGGGCTGTTTGTGTCTACTCATCCCCACTTGCCTCCCTCCTCCGGTAGCAGTAGTGACACACAGAGGAGTAGAGAGTGAAGGCACTCCTGCCCTTTTCTTTGATGAAGGTTGCAACAGGAGAGGATACAGGAAGATGTACTGGGTGCAGCAATGCACATAAAGGGGGAGTTTGGATTTCAACTCCAAGAGAGTCCAACACATGGTGGAGGAGAGCCAATGACTTTTCCTGAGAAACCAGAGCTCTGGGGGGTGTCTGTTGTGGGGAACCAGAGAGTGCAGACTTGTTGATGGGGTCTG